AATTGACAAAAATCCAATTCTTTTTACCCTTGTAAAAAACGGCAAACAAATAAGCGAGCTATTCTGCACTTTACCGAGAATATTTTCAAAGAAAAGACATCATTCATTATAGAAAATTACGTTTGAACAACCAACGAGATTAAATTATGCTTTAGCGACAAGTCGGTAGCGAAATAGCGATGCAGGCATCCGTTCAGTTATGTTTAGCAATTTTTATATAAATTACAATAATGATCTGAAATAGTTATTTACTCTTATGCTTCCATTCAGTCATGTTTAGCCTTTTTTTATATAAATTATAATAAAAAAAGTATTATATGAAAATTAACCTTTCATCTAAATTAAAACCATCAATCTTAGATAGTTATTTACTATTATACTTCCATTCTTGTATTAGGGTTGCCGCAATTATTTTTGGCAGCATTGGCATCAACAATAGTTTGGCGATTTTTTACGGCCCTCAAAACCGAATAGTACCTTATTTTTTCGCAACTAATATACTGATTTAAGAAGATAAAAGCTAACACAACTAAATATGCTTGGGTAGGTTTTACATCACCTTTGAATATTTTTGAAAATTCACCTAATTCTTTTAACTAAGTTCCGTCATGTTTTCATAGTACAAGAAACATACATACATACAGATTTTTTAAAAATAATATATAGCGATTTGGTGGCAACAATTTTGAAAAGCAATGAAGACAAAAAAGGGAGGTTTGAGACTAATGGCACCTCTGGTGCTAATAATACATTTAAAATTATAAATACAATATATTATAAATAAAAAATACTTTGATAGTACATACCGTAGATTGCCATCCTTGGAGCATATCTGGATAGGGCGAGAACGAGGCTAGCAAATCCTGTACGAGAGGTAAAAGGAACTGGCATATTAAATGGGACAACAACATGAATTCCTGAAGTGTCTTTCTTAAGAAAATAATTGCCTAAACTTGTTTTCTTCTTCTTCTTTTACCATAAATAAGATGATACCACTGTATGACTTCATGCAGGGTGAATTTTATTTTAGCAAACCTTTAGAAATTGGGTCTTGGATTTTTCAAAACAGTGAGGCTCCGAAGTCTTTTCAACTTCAACAAAAATTTGAGAACAAGTTTGTTTGCATTTGCGAAAGGGGCAGCATCTGTATATAACCCATTAAAAAAATTGAGATACCTTTGCACTTTTAACCTAAGTAAAAGAATAAAATACATAAATTTAGAACACATTTTGTACAACACATACAAGCAGGCCAAAAAAAGAAGTTTTATAATAAATATATTAATAGAGAAAAGTCAAATCTGTTCAATGATTCCTGAAATATTTTGGAACAGATGTAGCTTGTTTTACAACAGATTATATTTTTGAACAAATATTCTTATAAAAATACATGACTACAACACCTCAACAATATACTAAGAACAGAATATATTCACTCATTTCCTATTATCAAAATTATGTGCTGTTTAAAATAATAATAAATTATTATTATCATTAATATAGTTGATTACGGTTAATATGATATATTAATGGGTTGGTGGCTTTTTTTTTCAAATCATTCTGAGTGAAAAAATGTATGTTATTATTTTATAGTAAATTGCCAATAACAAATTAAAAATGCACTATAATTAGTGATGGCATAGAACAAAAAGTAGCTGAAAATAGTTCAAAGAGACTACAGACATCAAGCAGTTCCTTCTTAGTGCAAGAAAAATATGGTAAGTTTCCAAAATCACTCACAGTTTAACCTTTAAAATGCAGTTGAGTTAATTTTTTTAATCGCTAATCCACACACCTGATTAACAACTAACTTATCCAAACTCTTTGAGTTGTATTTATGTAGTGTAGCACAGGCGTCTGGAAAAATCGATCATTTGTGTTCAATAGTGTGTTTTTCCAAATCCAAGAAAATTGGCAAATGGGCAAGGAAATTACTAAATATCACTAACTTGGAGCAGGGCAAAAACTGTTTCCAAAGCCTGTCAGGAGCATATTTACCCATATTCCATGTTCTACTTAAAAGCTGTATTTACTATTTAAATGTTGTTTGACTTACAATTGAAAGATTAATATATTAATTCTGTATAAGAAGAAAAAATTTATACACAAAGCATGTGGCCAAAAATTCCATTGCATACAAAATAAACCCTAAAATTATCACCCTTAAGAGCAACAAATAAATAAAACAATACACATGCAACAATACATAAACACAGCAGTCAAATGAATATACATATTTAGATATTTACACTGATATCAATTAACCCTATGAGCGGCGCAGGATTTTAGATCAGTTATGAAGACTGGTATTTAAACAACATTTATTAATTTTGTAAATTACTTATTTTAGTCTGTATTTTCATAAATGTACATTCATGAAGATGATATTTACATTATTAAAGAAAGTAAGAAAGCAAAATATCTTAAATTATAAGCTAATATATGCCAAGTAGCAAAATTTCTGATGACCAGATAAAGCTGGTCATAACACTCAGAGAGTTAATATGTGTAATTTTTACACATTAAAGCACTTAGTAAATATCATTAAGTATAACACTTCAGACAATTTTATTGGTTTCTGCTAGTTGTTGCCATTTTATGGTTTTAATTGGTTATAACCAGTTTCTGTTATTGACAGAGCCTTTTTTTTTTTTTTCTGCCAGCTGAAGCTGTAAGTTATTCAAATATGACAAAGACTTAGGTGAGCACTCTCATTGCATTACACATGAGGACTATCTGCCTAAAGGAAGGGATGCATTTGGGAAAGTCTTGAATAGGGAAACTGGCTTGTTTTCATATTATGCATGGAGAAAACTATTAAAAACCAAATATGCATCTTTAATTGGTCTGAAACTTAGGTCGAACTACCAGTATTCAGCTTTACTAATCAGTCACTGGTGGGACTTCTGATGGCAGAAAGCCAATTCTGTTTAGAATACTACTCTAACAGTTAACTAAATTTTTCCTTGAATAATTATGTCGAATCTACACAACTCAAATACTGTATTATTTTAACAACCATCGCCTGGACAGTGAAAAGTTGGGCTGCCATTGAACTATCAAAGTTTGTGCACATCCTGCCAAAGTTTGTTAGTCATTCCTAGGGAATGCTAAAGCAATGGATGCTTGTTTATTAATAAAAAATTTGTACTGACCTTTTTTTTCCCCCCACTTCATAAGAAGGCTTTCATCAATTTCTACTATTTCATTAGACCCCCCCCCCCTGTTTTACTGGAAGCTCTGTTTAGAATGCAATGTGTAGAGACTTCGGGCAGTTAATTGCTGTAGTCTATTGCTGTTTCATCGGCCATATTCAACCATCCATATCATGCCCATTTATATATCCTTAAGGTAGAGTACCATAACCTTGAAAATAATCCACTGCTTGCTGTTCTGTTGAATGTAGATCCCAGTTTTTAATCACATTTTCAAAATGGAGGGGGGGATCAATAACAGCTAATTTATATCCTTGTTCATAAAAATTTGAGGTGGCTTATTGAGAATCAGTCAGGCTTACATCAAATGAAAGTGCAGATGTTACAAATGTATTGTTATGTCATGCATATTTATATCTGACACTAAATTGCACAGCTTGTTCATGATCTTATGGATGATGGGATAATGCAGAAGTACATATTCTTAAAGTGAAGAACTGTGATTTCATAGACATTAAACATCTTCTCAACTAAGATGAATTTGCAGATCAAAGGCCAAAGATTTGTAATCCTCAATCATAATTTGCATATCTTTGCAAGTGGCACATTCATAGTTATCTCTTCGAATAATCACTTCAGATGAGCTGGAAGAAATTGAACATTTATTATAAAGAATAATGAGCCACAGCAAAATAAGTAGCTGTGAATAGCTCTCGGAGAATCCAGATATTTAGAAATTCCTTTATATTGCATGAGAATTATATTGCATGAGAAATATTGTTAAATTCCCCAAATCACCACAAATGAACTTTGAAACATAATTCATCCAACTCTCTTTGTAATTCTACTCTAACAGCTGATTAACAATTAAGTCATTGTCTTCAATTCCAGCCACCCCTTTCTACAGTGATTTTTGTGCATTTCATCCACTATAATGTCTAATTCTCCCTAGGTCCCCAGAGCTGCATTTATACAGCACAGTCTTCTGGAAAAATTAGTTGTAGGTCTTCAAAATCCTGAATTTTTTATTAAGTTGGCGAGAAATTGCCAAATATCGTCAGACTGGCACCAAAAAAATTTTTAAGGCCCCTGAGGAGTATTATTTTCGCATATCTATCTTCCATTCTACTTGTGCTATTTTTAAAATTTAAATGTTGTTGAACTCAGAATTGAAAGTTCTACATTTCTATGTAGAAAATAAATACAAAACATGTGGCTAAATACAAAGCATGTGCCCATAAATTGAATTACATACAAAATAAGTCCTATGTTTATCACGCTTACTGCAACAGGCAAATGAATAACTAAATAAAACAATACACGGTGTTACAACGATATTTAAAAACACCACACTCAAATATACTTAAATGTTTACAAAATTTACTCAATATTGCAGCTTTCTCACATTTACAGTGCCTCTTATTCAGCTTTACTTTTTTGTCATCAGCATCTTCACCTATTTTCCCTTTCCGATGGGTTTCATCATTGGACACCGAAAGCTCTGTCAGTACCTTAGGACACATTTTGCATCATGAAAAGTGTAACTGATTTATAAACCAATTATTATTTGAACTCTGAGTACATTAATGAGTTAAAATGATACAATCTAGTCATAGTTCATACATTTTTATCAAAATCTTTGAAATGAGGGTATGTATTAAGTATTATTAAATTATTATATGTATTAAGTATCATTATGTATTAAAGTATTGCTATCACAGTTTTTGAGTATGTGCAATTTAAAACCATGTTTGCATTTTGATTCTAGTGTTACCTAAATACCATGTACAGTTGCATTAATTTTTTTTTTCATGATTATTAATTTGTCTGTTTTCTCTGTATTAGGAAAGTCTTGGAATGCTTGAAAACGTGCATTACATCAATGCACATAGAGTTAGTGGTACAGCTTGTGATACAACCAAGAAGTGGAAGATCGAAGATGTAAACTGGTAAGCTGTTGCATTTTTTAAATATATTTTTAGCATTCATTGGAAATACAATAATACCCCTGCATCCATCAGTAATATGTTCCAAGACTTAATGTACGGATGTATGAAGCCATCAGTGAGTTTTATATGAAACAGTATATTCATGTAATGTATATGATTTATAATTATGTATACTGTGGGGGGGGAAGTTAGTTCTATATCTCCTGTTCTACTGGGCCTATCGATGAAATTCAAATTGTGTTTTTCATCTCAAAACCGCGACAAAATTTGGACGTCCATTATCTGGAACGGTCTAAAATCTGGACCTCAAAACCACCAACGTTTTCTCTTACGCTTTACTGCATGCACATTTGATTCCTTCCTCAATACATAATAAAACATCTGGAGAGTCCCAATTCTTAATTTCACTTCAACACTAAATAAAATAGCTTGTTATTGAAGAGACAATCATTTTAGTATAAATTTATAGGATCAGTAATTTGGCTCCGTATCTGCTTTGGCACACATCTCAAACCAAAACAGTCCACATAGATATATGGTTGATCTGACACCCACCCCACCCTGCAAATCATTATTTATTATACTTTCCTTGCATCACCACATGTTTATCAAAACATGACAACTTGAGTAATGACTCATATAGCGATGCCTAAAAAAATTTTTTTTATGTTAGTAATTGAATAATAAAGCAGTATGGTAACCTTTTATATTGACATTACGCTTGGCAATTTACATTGAAAGATATGTTTAATAAGGTAAATAAATAATTATAAAGTTTTTTTTTTTTTTTGTATATATTGTTACCCTTTAGATCAAAAATACTTCTTCATATTTTCAATTTTATAATTTCTACATGCCATCTCACTAGATTTAAACTGATGATATCCGGAAAAATCCCAAATCCGAAATCGCCGAAGTCCAATGAGTCCGGATTTTGGACAGACTTTGTACTGTATATATCAAATTCAATTAACATTGAGGAGCTAAAATTTTAAGAGCTAATTTTTTTAAAAAACTACTCATGCAATTTTTACAAAATTTGGTGATTTGTCATAATTTGAATTGGAGTATTGAAATATGGAAAAGAATTGGCATGTCATTTCAGAAGAAGTCCAAATTTATGCCAAAATAGCTATATTAAAACAATGCTATATATAAATATAATACATATCCTAAGTCACACTTTCGAGACATGAAAAAGGCAAGTTGAATTTCGTCAGTCGGCCTAGTAGAACGGAAAATATAGAACTAGCCTTTTTTCTTTTTTCTTTTTTTTTTTTTTTGTGCAGTGTACATTTAATAAATAATGTAATTAAAGCATAACCAAGATTAAATAATAATATAATAAAAATAATTTATACACAACAATACTTTATTTAGTAGTACATTTTATGTTGTGCTACCACTGAATGAAATAATATAAATATGAAGTTGTAAAATATGCATTCGTGTTCTTTTCTGTTCAAGCTAAATGACAATGTATTGAAGAAATTGACAATGTATTGTAAAAATAACAGCATGTAACAAAATAAAAGGCTATAAATAGCTGAAGGATAATGTTGAGATAATGCAGATTTGTCCATAAGACATGAGAAATTATTTATTGTACTAGCAGGGATCTGCTCCCCAGCAGTCTTGGCTGGGGGGGATAAAAACATAAGCCTGGGGAGGACATTATCACAATTTTCTGTAAGTAAAGGTAGTGACAAGTCCCCAATGTGGTGCAGGGGCAGTGTTGTGGGTTGGGACACTAAATCTACTTACTGTAACCCGCGAGCATGCACGCCAAAATTATGAACACGAGAAGGCGTGCTGGATATGTCATACCCGAAAGCAATTAACACGTTTTAAATTGCATTAATGATAGAAATACCAGTATAAATGTGGATTAACGTAAAAAACAAGGAACTTTATTTTAAATAATATAATAAATGAAGTACATAGCTTACAATTAATTTGCACATCTCTGGCAGATTAAACACATATGCTCCATACAAATACTGATATTTCATTTCTCTCACAGAAACCGTGTCTTTCTGTCCTTGTTTTTAGGGCACTCAGCGCATCTTATGTAAATGTTTTCATCTTTTTAGATGGTGGTTCCGTATTGCAATCTCCTGAAATGATATTTTCTTTTAGTTTCAAAAGGAGCATGATTTGCTGCTGCCGTTGATTTGAGTAATCTTCCACTAACTTCAGTCCTAATGATTTGAGAAAAGAACGCCTGTTTCTAAACTGAGTTGGTGGTTCTTTTGTAGAAAGTAAAATTATTCATGTATTAATTGCTGCAGCATTTAAAATTGAGAAACAAATCACCACCGGCTACTGTTTTGATACTCTAGCTGTAGAATATGTTGCTCCCATTTCATCTACAACATCTACTGCTCCTTTGGTTAGATTATAAAATGAAATAATCTCCGGCTTTTTTAGTACTCCAGTGGTTTCGTCAATTTTACTATTGTTGTGCATAGTTGATAGTAGGACAATACTTCTGTTTTTCCTTGGTGCATAAGAAACAATCGTTTCTTTCTGGAAACCAAAAATTGAAGAATATGCTTCCCATTTCTTCTTTAAAAAATCCGATGAAATTTCTCTCTTATTCTTTCTCACAGTTTCTACTATAGTTATTTTCTTCCTTAGTAGGTCCTGAGATAACTGGTATCCCATAGCTGGTATACCAATTATCTACAGTCAAATTCCATCCAGAATTGTACAATGGTTCCATCAAACGCTTTACAATCACGCTTGCATTGTTATCAAACTGAAACGGCCCCTGTGGGTGCTGGCCGGCGTATATTTCGATATTCCATGTATGAAACACTCTAGGATCCATTAGTGCAAATATTTTTATGTCATATTTGGCAGGTTTTTTTGGCATGTATTGCCTAAATCAACATCGTCCCTTAAATGGCTCTAATTTTTCATCAATTGTTACATATTCATCTACAGTGTAGGCTTTCTGACAGTTCTCAATGAATTTTTCAAAAAACTGTCTTATGGGAGCGAGTTTATCCGCATCTCTTCTACTCGGACGATCTCGGATATCATCAAACCAAAAGCATCTTAATAGGAAAAGGACATTGTTTTGTGGAAAATATCCATTCTAGTTCCATCTGTTGTCGACAGATCTTTTACATTGACGTGAGAGGATTTGTGAACATCATTGACGTGAGAGGATTGATCACATATATACAAGTCTCAAAAGTTGATTCACATTCATCCGTTTTCTCTGCATCGTGCTCACATACAAAATGCTCCTGAATGGAATCAATGTAAATATTTGTACATTGAACTTATATTTCTCTCATGTCTTTATCAATGAGCAGAGACCAAGAATCCAATGGTGTTGGTGCATCTTCCGAATAACCAGTATTTCCTGGAATTTTGAAGAAAATATTTTTTGAACTAGTCCTAACATTCACTCGGAATTTTTTTTTTCCCCCCATATCAGGCCATTTTTACCAACATAATTTTCATCATTTGATTGATTTTTTTTATTCACTATCTAATTCAGTGTCTGTATCACTGTCTGTTGATGAATTATGATTGCTGTTGTATTCTTCATCTATTAATTCTTCCTCCTCTTCACTAAACAATTCATCATCTGTTGAAATGGTTTCTAGCATATTTTTCACCCTTTCAATTTTTTTTAATATAGCTTTGATGCCTCGCCATGCTGACTACCTGAGAAAGTGAGGGTGAAAGTCTGAGAGACGCGAGAAGGCGCGTGGTTGTCACATACCCAAATGGTACAATTCCTAGAAAAGTATTCAAAGAATCACTTCACGGACATCCCAGCTTCAAGAATGTGACCTTGAATTCAGCTACAAAAGGTTTCGCCCATTTCCAGGAAAGGGGTTTGGAGATAAGGGACAAAGAATATGCCCGGCATGTGCTCGTAGGTTAATAAATCCCTAGTGCAGGGCAGGCAGCATAGTACTGGTTGGTAGCAATTAGCAACCAGTCAAAATAACAATCTCCTCCCAACAATCATTTATTGTATTGGCAGGGATCTGTACCCTGGCAGTCTTGGCTCCAGGGAATAAAAACATAAGCCTGGTGGCTCCTCATCACCTTCGGGGGCGGAAAGGACATTATCACAACTTTGTACAGGTTAAGGTAGTGACAAGTCCCCAGTATAGTGCAGGAGCAGTGTTGTGGGTTGAGACAGTACATTCACTTTCTTTAATAAATCACAATGCATGGGGCATAGTACTTGTATATAGCAATTAACAACCAGGCAAATAGAGCTGCACGCCACTATGGTTCATGAAACTGGGAGTGGTGATCTCACAGGCCTAGTTCAGCGATAAAGCTGAGAAAAAATTTATTAAAGTTTGCAAGCATCTAGTTTGGAACCCAGATACTCGGCAAAACAAATTTGCTTAATCTCAAAGCTGGCTTTTTGGCTGAACTACCATTCCCTTGCATGATATGAAATTTCTCAGCTAGGACTGCAGTCCGTATGGTCACATCCTGTTGCAGGAGCATGTAAAAATTATGTTCCTGAAACTTTGGGGAAAATTGCTCCTACAGCTTCCAGAATGTGCTTTCAAGAAACTTCTTAAAGTCATTATGTTGGTGAGGAATTGCCCTAGCCCATGGGGAGCCTTTTTTTTTTTTTCCCCTGTCTTGGGCTTGTAGTTGAACTGTTGTCGCAGTTAAAAAAGTGATGAGTTTAAAATCACAAGATCAACAATTCTATGCAAGAAATGAGCATTTACGTAAAAAATTCCTTTAACCAAAAAATATTCCTTAAAATTATTACACATAGTGAATCAAATTAATAAGTAAAAACAATACATATTACAGGAATATCAATACACTTACAGAAATTTACAGCAATATTGTGCATTAGAGTCTACTCTGCTTGTAATATTAGAGATTGACATTTTAATGTAATCCACAAAGAGATTTACATATTTACTTAATCCATAAAAGACAAGTGAGAAATGTTGAAAATCATTCACCTTAGCACTAATAGCTCATTAGAACACCGT